TTCTTGTGCTCATCATTATTCTTCCCCCAACCTCCCCTGCCATCCCCCCAAGAAACCATCAACCCAGTTACTATCTCTATAGATTTACCTATCTTGGATTTCATATACAGGAAAACATATAAACAACAACAACAACAACAAAGAAACTCACAGCAATAGCAAAGTGAAACAGAGAAGCCTCAATCAAAACGTAAGCAGAAAATAGTAAAGACTAGAACATATTTCAAATGGGTCAAAGGGGAAATCAAATGATGGTGATAAAGTTTAACCTAGCTGCATCTGCAATAATCCACTTTCCAAGGCACTCTGCGTGACAGCGGGCCATTCACCTCTCTGGTCTGTGGTCAGAGGGGATTCACTTGAGTCGTCAGCCACGGTGGACCCTGCAAGTGGATTTTGGGCATCCACTGTCAGTCATAGCCTTCTGATAACCAGGCGTTCACAACGTATACCCTGATACCATGACAACGTATACCCTGATACCATGACAACATATACCCTGATACCATGACGATGTATACCCTGATACCATGACAATGTATACCCTGATACCATGACAATGCCCTGATACCATGACAATGTATACCCTGATACCATTCTGTCCTTCAGATTTGGATTTCCTTAATTACAATCCTTAGGTCGTACAGGCTGGTTTGCTTATTCCATTTTCTTAAACTTTCTGAAGCCCCCTCATATTTTTTAAAATTCCTTTATTGGGGCCTCATACAACTCTTATCACAATCCATACATACATCCATTATGTGAAGCACATTCGTGCATTTGTTGCCATCATCGTTCTCAAAACATTTTGCTTTCTACTTGAGCCTTTGGTATCAACTCCTCATTTTTTCTCCCTCACAAACCCTTGATATTTTATAAATTATTATTATTTCTTGCCCCCTCGTATGTTGCTAGAGTAGTTGGGGCTGTATTTTCTGGAAGGTAAGGATTGGTCTGTGGGGAGAGGGTGGTAAAGGAGGAAAAGTTCCTACTCTCTGTCCCACCTCAACAGTTTACAATATGATCAGGCAATTCCTTTCCTCCTGTCTTTCCTTCTTGCCAAAATGGACATGTGTGCTTCGTGACATTTGATATTGTTCTGAGTCTTCCAAGTACATGATGGTGATTGTAGTCTGCAACCTCATAACAACAGTAAATGTTTTACCCTGGTTGTTGTGATTGGTAGGTGCTGAATTGTAGTCTGCAACCCCACAACAACAGTAAATGGCTTAGCCTGGTTCTTGTGATTGGGAGGTGCTCTTAAGTTGGTTCCAGCTCATAGCGACCCTCTGTACAAAACAATGCAACACTGCCCAGTCCTGCCCCATCCTTACAAAGGTTGCTATGTTTGAGTCCATTGTTGCCCCCACTGTGTCCGTCCATCTCATGGAGGGGCTTCCTCTTTTTCAACGACTGTTTACTTTACCAAGCATGGTGGCCTTTTTCCAGGACTGGTCTCTCCTGATCCCATGTCCAGAGTACTTGAGACAAAGTCTCTCCAGGCTTGCTTCTAAGGAGCATTCTGGCTGTACTTCCTCCAAGACAGATTGGTTTGTTCTGGTAGCCCCTGGTGCTTTCCTTGTTCATCAGCACCGTAATTCAGATGCATCAGTCCTTTTGCAATCTTCCTTATGCCTTATGAGTGGCTGAAAATGCCACGACTTGAGCCTGGTAGTTTACTCATAAAATACATGGTGTTGAATGTATTCAATTGTATGTAATTGGAAGTGACCCTGTACAGACATGCCTGAGAAAGTTTTGTAGGATTAGAACCACCTCATTCTGTTAATTTTTATTTGTGTAGGGCAAAATTTCTAGAAATAGCTTGACGATGAGCAAAACTGCAGTTGAATGAGAGATATAAAGTTAAGGGGAAGAGGAGTAGGTGCAATTCTCTCTCTCTCTCTCTCTCTCTCTCTCTCTCTCTCTCTCTCGGTAAAGATAAAGCCGTTTCATGGGCCTATAAGGCATTAAGTATTTCATTCTATTCTGGACTAGGGAGGTCCTGGTGGCTGAGACCATAGGGAACTGTGTGCAAGGCAGGTGGATGTCTGATGGGATAGAGAGGGCCTGATGTGTATGAAAATCGGGGGGGGGAGAGGGAGATGCCTTCATTTTCATGTCTGGAGAACAGTCAATTTCTCTCTGGTCCGTGCTCAAAGGTTGAGCTGTGACCAACTGTGGCCTGGGAGGGGCCTTACTCATCGGCGTTGGTAAGAAAGCTACATGATTTAGTTCTGTTACCTTGCATTCTTGCTGAACTGGCTGGAAGGCTTGATTTGTCTGATGATTGGTTATCTTGGAGACACCAAAATAAAGAATTTCTGATTCCCCTCCTGCCTTTTTACCTGTGGCCTTGGAAATGGCACTCGATTGAGGGTGTGAGATGTGAAGAGACTTTCGAGAGTCTTGAATTTGGGCTGGGCAGGCTCTCACGTGTTCTTGCTGTGCAGCATAAGAATGATCTGATTGCTTCAGGTTTACATCCTGGGCCTCTTAGCCACAGAGGACCTGGCATTTGTCTGTCTTGAATCCTCATCTGTTAAAATTACTAGTTTGTCCCCTTTTCTTTCTCAGTCCCAGCTTTCCTCCTTCATTCTGCCCCCTGGTTTCTCATATTCAAGGACCCCCCGGGAGCACCGAGGTTCAGCAGTGCTCAGATCCTAACTGGAAAGGTGGTGATTGGGATCTCTTAACCCCCTCGAAGGGAGAAAGATGAGGCGGGGTGCAAAGCAATGAGGCAGTCTCTTTGCATACATATGTACAGCCTTGGAAACCCTCGGGGACAGTTCCACCCTGTCTTACAGGGTCACTCAGAGGTTGGGATCAGCTTGATGGCAGTGGGTTTGGCTTTTGGTTTTTCTGATGTTCAGGACATTCACCAGTGATTGCTATTATCTTGCTTTGATACTTGTCTCTGCCGCAGCCTTCATTTCCCCTCACCGAAGTCTCATGAATCAATCTTGTTGTCAGTTGACTTTGATTATGGCTCTGAATGTCTGCTTCTGGCTTATGGGCCGTGTAAGTCTCATGCCTCCTCAACACTTGAGAAAATTAGAGAGAGCAGTCATGGTACATTCCTGCTGTTAGTTCATCCTGACATTGAGTAACAGATGACACGGCCAACAGACAGAGTGGCTGCCTAGGTTGCCTAACAGATTTTTGTGTGACTTTTGGAGAGTCATACACGTGCCAGCTTCAAGACATTCAAATCCATCTTGAAGTGTCCCGTACTTCCACCTCTAGAGAAGCCCTCCCCGCGCAGGCCTCCTTCTGGGCTTGTCTTCGGTGTACCACTGAGCTGGGAACAAACAAAGCCCAAACCCTCGAGAATGGTTTGAATGCTTCTGCCTTTCCTGGTCTGCGTGACACTTCTTAAGTGTTCAGTATAATGCTGCTGGTCCCTGGGGCATGGGCCCATCCTAGCCAAGGCCACCAGGTCCAGGCATGAAGGGGTGCAGGAGGGCAGCCTGGACATTGGCACACTTGCGGAAATGATTATAGTTGTATAACGTGAATCAGAGCTTATCTGTGCCCTCTGGACTTGATTTGATGGGGCAAAGGCAGGGGGGCATATTTCAGCTTGTTACTGTGCTGAATTCTTGAAGCAGTTGCTGCATTCATTGGCCAGCCGTGTGACATAGGGCTTGCCGAATCACCCGAGGTCTCCCCACCAGGCTGCCCACGCGCTTATTGACTCCCACATGAATGTTCACATGTAGCTTTAGTCGGCTTGGTTAGCACAAGCAAGGGTCGAGTGTAACAAGTAAATGTCTCTAAGGTGGCGGCACCCTGAAGAGCTGTGAACAGTTCCAGCCTGGCCAGCCCTGGTTTGGCTGGGAGAGGATGGTCAAGGGTATGGATCATTAAAAATGGCTTTGACTCCCAGCTCTACTCAGAAGTATCTCTGCTACCTGGATCCTTCCAGGACTATTCCCTTCTTGGTTTCAGCAAAGCTACTCCTCTTGGAAAGACTAGGGAGAAAGGCCTGGCAATCTACTTCTCCAAATCAGACCCGTGGATCACAGTAGTTTGATCCTGTTGTGTTTAGGGCTGCCATGGGTTGGGGCCCAACTCAATAGCAGCGAACCACTATTAACTATTATATAAAAGGTTTTGCAAAAATAAACAGGAAGGTGATTTTCGTGATTAAAGGCTCACGGTGTGCTTTCATCATGTGGATCCCAACTCATAGCAACCCTATAGGACAGGGCAGCACCATCTCTGTGGGCTTCTAAGACTGAATATCTTTACAGAAACAGAAAGCCTCCTCTTTCTCCCACAGAGCGGCTGGTGGTTTCAAACTGCTGACCTTGTAGTTTGCAGCCCAATGTGTCACACAGTAGGGCACCCGGGCTCCCTGCCATGGTTGCAAGTTGGACCTAAACCAGGCAGCAGTTTGAAACCAGGACTGATGAGACCATTACAGAGGCTCCCGGGAATGGTTCAAGGGAAGAGCCCATGGGCCAGTTGTTTTCACCGGCAGCCTCAGTGAGGGTTCTAGGCATCCGAATGTGGGGCTGCACTGCTGAAGGATACAGGTGAGGAGTAGTGTAGCCGGAGGCCACCAAGGACACCTGCCGGAGGAGACCTGGAGCTACTTGTAAAGCACACAGAGCTCTCCCATGGCTGAAAGTGGTGCCAAGTCCAGTCCACCTCCAGGTATAGTCCGAATACCTTGGTCGGCTTCAGAGTCTGGGAGAAGGGGGAGCCGAGACTGAAGACAAAGAACCAGAGGACATTCTCCAGGCCATCTTGACGAACGGCCGTGACAATGTCCATGTCAACTAGCCGCCTACCTAGGCTTTAAGATGGTCTTTGTGATTCTTGTTTTCTTCCAACCTCTTATTAAAAATGGGATTTGCCAATAGCCGGGTGGGAGCATCGTCGTCGTAGTGGGGTGCCACTGTGAAGTACTGAAAAGGCCAGACTCTTTCTCAGCTCAGTAAGTGGAAAGTCATCATTGCTATCTTTCCCCCTGTTCCATTTTTGTCTTTCAGCTGAAGTGAGTAGTGAATACAGTATGGACAAGGCGATGGTTGAGTTTGCTGTAATGGACCGGGAGCTTAACCATTACATAAAGGCTGTCCAGTCTGCAATAAATCATGTAAGTTTAATACTGATGGTTATTCGCAGCCACTCACTTGGTTATAATTGGTTACAACTGGCCAGCCTAGTACTATGAACACAAAATCAAAATTCTTCTCCAACCTTTGATATTTCCTTATCCTTACTGTAGCGGCTATTCATTTCCTCCTAACCAGGAAGTCTCATGGAGTAGGAATCTGAAACATTCTTCCAGCTAGACCACCTAGGTTACTTTCAGAGAGTCCGTTGGCTTCGGCTTTCGTGCAGTTCTTGCCTTGAGATGTCTAGTCTAAATTGTTTATAAGTTGCCAAAAACCGTGTACGACTCCTTTATTCCCCCAGTTGTTATTCCTGCTTAAGCATTCCATTTCAACCAGGTTCTGTTACTCATTCTCCAGTTTTAACTACTCTGCAGGGATTGCAACATCTAGGCAATCAGACAATAGGAGAGATCTTTAGAGCGAGTTTAGAAATAAAGAAGGTTGGCATTTTGGCTTTTCCGGGAGCCAAACGTATCTTTGTTGAGTCCAGCAGCACGAGGCAGTGGAGGTGGGAGCCCTAGCAACATCCTTGTCAGCACTCTATTGAGTAAGACGTGAGCAATACGATTGCAGTCTTGTTTCTGAGAAGTCCTTTGTCCTTGGAGCAGTGGAAACTCCCTGTTGCGCTGATCTTCGTTCACCTGGTAATAGGGTGCTCTTGTGCTTCTGGTTTCTATATTTGTCTTCCTATACGTGTAGCTATGGGAAAATTGCAAAACTCAAATACTGCCCAAGATTGGCTACTGCTCATCGAGGAAATAGGAATGGAAATCTAGCACACACACTAAGTGTGTTTTGTGGTTAGTATTGATGAATTGAAGGAGCCCCTGGGTGGCGCCAGTGGTTAAGCAATCAACTTAGCCTAGAGGTTGACAGTTCTAACACACCCAGAGGCTCCTCGGAAGACAGGCCTGGTGATCCGCTTCCGGGAGGTCACAGTTTTGGGATGCCTGTGGTGCAGTTCTACTCCGTGCACAGGGAATTCGCCATGAGCCAAACGGACTCAGTGGCAACCCCTTACAACCACCTGAAGCGGAGTATCAGTGAGCTCGTTTTAAGAGTATCTGCTTATAGCCCCAAACGGAATCGATTTAACTTATACAATTTGCATGTTTCTAGCCATCATGACTGCTAGACCCGCTACTGTATTTCTTCCTAGCAAAAGATGAAAATGGTACCAGGTTTCAGCCTGTGAAATGGGTTCCCTGAGCTCCGAATACAGCTCATTGCAGCCCCAGTAGTTTTGCAAAGTTAGTCAACTGTGGACCCAGGCTAGAAAACCACTGATTTCACAAGAACCAGACTGGCTGCGTAGAGTGATAGATACCTTGTGTTGGCTACCAGCGAGCGGAGTTAGGCCTGCTGTGCAGCTCGATCTTGCTTTGACCTTTCCATTAGAGAGAGCCCATTTGACGGGCCTTTTAATCTTTCACCTTCACATTGTGCAAATACAACAACCTAATATATTAGGCGAGAAAATCCAGTTTTGGTGTTGAAGAGCTTCATGTCAATTTCTTGTTGTTCTTTAGGATCTGTAACTGTGTCAGGTATTTTTGCATTAAAAAGCAAATGTCCCATTTAAGAAACTGATTTACAGGCTAGACAATTCCTGACCTGCCCATTTCACAATGTCATATATGAATGAGATTAGATACCCTGTATCAGAATACTTTGAAATTCTAGACTCTGATGGCAGGATAAGATAGTATTATTAATACCTTTGCCCAGATATTTAAATCTACTTGGAGCAATGGAATAGGACCTTCCTTGAGAAACGTACGGTTGCCGGCCGTTTGAAAGCAGTCTGTGTTGTCTTTGATTTTGTGTTGTCCTGCTGGGATTAAAGAATGCTTTGGGTGTTCGCTGTTGGCTTATCCAGTTACAGTGGGAGTTGTTCCTGGCCTCTAAAGAGAAAGCATGGTGTTCAGTCAGATACTGAAACAAGGAGGCAGTTTGTGGACCCTCCGAGCAACCGTGTGCAACCTTCTGCTCCATTGTAGACTTTGTGGAAGTACCTCGCTTCTGTTTCCATAATCTTTGCCCAGGCTCTGATCCACTCTCCCCAAGTTAATTTGAAAGTATCTGTACTCTTCCTTTTTATGAAATTTCATGAACCATAGGCAGGTTTTGTCCCCTCAAAATAATAAACAAGGACGATCAAGCCTTTTTCAATCAACCAAGCAAGAACAGTAGGGCCTATTTTTAAAAAGAAACATCCTCACATCCCAACCTTCTATGGAATTCTGAAGGTATATACCTCTGCTTTAGATGTATAGCTTTTAGACATTTACTTTGGAACCTTAGAGGCAGAGATTGGCTTACCCACAAATCCCAGTGGCATTACACAAAAACTCTCAGATTGCCTTTCTTTGTCCTTTAAGGAAATGGAGCTGCTACACTCGAAGATCCCAGGGTATTTTATTTAGAATCAGCATTTATTTAAGGGCCCTGAAACAAATAAACAAAACCTGGAACACCGTTCCAGCTAGCTTGCAGAGGGAATGCTATGCAGCGCGTGAGCACTAAAAAACAATTCCAGGATGAGTTGGAATTGCCTTGATGGTAGCAGGTGGCGTGGATTGCCAAAGGGAAGGAAGGCCTTGTGTGCTGGGGGTGTCAATGACTGAGGGCCCCTGTGACGCCCGGCGAACCTGGGGACTCCTTCTTGAGGAAGTGAGATTTAACCTGCCACGAGAGTCACATGTCCTGTGCTACTTCTTCGTCTCTGTGACTTTCGCATGAAATGAAAGCATCTCACTTCCGATGGTCTTCCTGGTAGAGTCCCAGAGTGCCTCAGGCAATCCACAGACTTAATTTTGAGAAAATTAGGCCAAAGAAGGACTCTCAGAGAGTGCTTTATGTGCAAAAGCTAACTAGAGAGTGACTAGTTGAGTGACTGAAGGTGAGCCACTGGCTCATTCTCTGCAAACCCACCTGGATCGGTAATGTAAGTTATGTTAGTAGTTGATGAAGAATCGAGTGCTTCCTGAAACTGGCCTCCTTAGGCTACTTCGCTGGTTCAGCACGGCTAGTGGGACTTGCTATTGTCGTGTACTCATTAAACACCATGGCCATACGCTCTTATTTCTGATGTGTTTTGTGTGTTTGTTTTAACCAAACCCTGTCATCATAATCCTGTGATGGGGGGTATGGTTATTTAGTTCAGGGGATCCTTAAATCCATTGTCTGACACATGGGTTGTTTTTTTTTTCAACTAAGAGATGATAAAAGTTCATCATGTGGGTAGGCAGTCTCTGCCATTTAAAAACATTAAAAAACATTTTTTGGGGCTCTTACAGCTCTTATCACAATCCATCCATCCATCCATTGTGTCAAGGACATCTGTACATATGTTGTCATCATATTTTTCAAAACATTTTCTTTCTACTTGAGCCCCTGGCATCAGTTCCTCATTCCCCCGTCCCTCCCCCATATACCCTTGATAATTTATAATTTATTCTTTTTTTGTTCTTATGTCTTACACTGACCATTGCCTCTCATTTCACCCACTTTTCTGCTGTCTGTCCCCCTGGGCAGCGGGAGCGGGGGTGGGGGGCAGGTGTTATATGTCGATCATTGTGATCGGTTTCTTCTTAACCCACCCCCTCCTTACCCTCCTAGTATCGCTGCTCCCCTTATTGGTCCTGAGGGGTTTATCTGTTCTGGATTCCCTGTGTTGAGAGCTCTTATGTACCACTATACATGTTCTGGTCTAGCCAGGTTTATAAGATAGAAGTGGGGTCATGGCAGTGGGCGGGGAGGAAGCATTGAAGAGTAAGATCTCTTCATCCTCATGGTATAAGACAGGTGCCAGCCTCCTCTAACCTGTGGCCAGAAGAACAAGATGTTGCCCGCCTACTGCTCCTGACCCCTCTGACCCGGACCACTATATAGGAGGGCCTGGTAAGAATGGGGAAAAGATGTACAATAAATGAAAGAAACATAGAAATGGGCGAAAATGGAGGATAAAATAATAAAAAAAATAGAAACCACCAGACTTGTCTAAGAGATTGGAGGAAGCCAATCTGAGAGTTGTCCTTCGTCTCAAGACAGCCAGCCCCCTGGGAATTGCAGGTACTCCGGAGTCCCCTTCCAGCCGATGCGTGGGCAGGCCTGTAAAACAAAGCCACAGCCCCGGAGAGGAACGTGCTCTTTTGGAATGGTCAGCTTCATGAGGAGGCTTCCATGGGCTCAGGGAAAAACAGAACAAAGATCAGGGAGTTTTCTTCCCCAACCTTTCTGAAGCTCCCTCACAGGAGAACAAAAGGGCAACATTTGCCCCTATCCAAAGATGGGACGATAGGTAGGGGAGATGGCTAGAAACAGGAGCCCCGGGGGAAAGAAGGGAGGGTGAGGAGTGCCAAGCCATTAGGGGAATTGTACCCTTGTGCTGGCACTTGGGGGGAACTGAAGTTTATAGATGACTTATTGATGGGAAAGCTAATTTACTGTGCAAACTATCCCCGGAAGCACAAGAAAATACCACCCCCCCCCCAACAAAACAAAAAACAACAGACAAAAGGCAGGAGCCATGGAAGGGACTGATAAAAGGCACCACCGGCTCGCTGTCCTTTGAGTCAGGGCAGCCATGGGCATCTTCTGTGCTTTACGGGAAAGAAGCCTGCTGGGGTCGTGGTGCACGGGTGGGCTGCTCACTTCAAGGTCAGAAAGATGCAGCTGTCCACTCACTTCAAGATTTATAGTACTGGAAACCCACAGGGACAGTTCGCCTCTGTCCTGTAGGGTTGCTGTGAGTTGGAATTGACTGGAAGGCAGGGAGCTTTTTGAGTGTGTTTTTTTTTTTTTTGGGTGAGCAGTCTAGTTTTAGACTCCCAATTGGATATAGGGGCAGACGTCTCATTCCCTTGTACGTAAGGTGGCCCGGAGTGTGAGTTGACTGGATGGCAGTTGTCGGTCGGTTCCCACTCAGAGCGGTCCCGTGTGATGGAGAAAACAGCCCCGCCGGGGTTTCTGGGCT